AAAGAAAAGAAAATACTTTGGTAGTAAAACTGTTCAAAGATAATATTTCTTGTCATCATACATATATTTTCAATAGGTAAAGTGATTTCAAATCATCCCAGAACAACTATAAACCATTGTCACAAGCAATCTTGTGTTCTCTCTCTCTCTCTCTCTCTCTCTCTCTCTCTCTCTCATTTTGTGCAGTGTGAAACTACGTGACCAGACATCTCTGACTAACTGAACAGTTAGTTTTCAAAGCTTCATCCTCCCGAACAGCATGGTTCTCACAACTTCCCTCACCAACATGCTCGTAGCTCCACAGAGACCACACTTCTTCTGTCTCCTCTCCGTGGCTCTTCGCTCTTTTAACTTTCTCCCTTTTCTTTATTTCTCCTAATTCTCTCTCTCCTTTTACATTTTGGTCTACATTTATTGTAAAACTACAGTCCCTGTTTCTTTTTTTAAAAAAATATGTTTTTATTGCCAGAGGGGAAAAAAGAGCCCCTCAATGGGGCATGGTCACACCACAATCCCTTCTTCATTTCTCCATCTTGTTGGGATTTAGGGCATATATATACATATGACCAGCATGTTTTTCAAGCTGCTGGAGCCAGGATTTGAACCATGGTCAGCCACTTGGGATCCAGCTCTCTTAACAACTAGGCCATTGGATGGATCTCAGCCTGTATTTTTCTTATATGTTCATTGTGCAGAGGAATTTTAAATCTCAACTCACCAAATTTCCTAAGTCAGATTTCTTCCCTCTATGTCTATGCACCTTTCTTGAGGTAACCCCTCACCCCAAACTCTTATCTTAACCTGCATGAATTTTTCCAGAAATCCAGTATAATAAAAGGCCAGTGGTTCTCTTATGAAAAGTATAATGACCATGATACCTGCTGGATTGGTTTATTACAAGAATTTCTCACCAAAACATAACTTCATAGGTGCCAGTAAATGTTCCTACAGTGAGTTCTGTAGACATCTCAGTCAGTATTTGTGACGAGGAGGAAGAGAGTCGAAAGATCAAAAGTATTTTTCCATGTTTCAGATAAGCTCTTCTTCTTGTATAAGTCCTGATGTGATCTTTAGGCATATGAAAACATATTTAAATGACAATACCCTTTATTTTATAGATTTCCAGGCCATGGGGTTGAAGAAAGGGATGTTTTTCAACCCGGACCCTTATCTGAAGATCTCCATCCAGCCTGGGAAGCACAGCATCTTCCCTGCCCTCCCGCACCACGGGCAGGAGAGGAGGTCCAAGATCGTAGGCAACACTGTGAACCCCGTCTGGCAGGCTGAGGTGAGTGTGCAGACCTGAGAGAGCAAGATGGCTGACTCAGAACCAGCCCCTGTGCTTCCCTTCCTCCCACAGAGCCTAAACACTGCCAGGAAATCCATGGCTCTCTTAGCTTAGAAGGGAGCCATGTTCTCCAGGGTTGCAACTCTTCGGAAACTTGATCGAGTCCCTCCAGACGGTAGGAGGAAACGCCATTCCAGCTACACACAGTAGCCTTTTGTTTTGATTTAGAACCTGTGCCTGCCAGCAGGGCAGCCTTTCTGTCTTCCCTTCAGGAGAGAGAAGGAAGATGAGCCTTTCGAGCTGAGCATTGAAATTTCTCCACAGTTCTTCCCATGCTGGTGATCCCTAAGCAAGAATACCAAATTTTAATTATGGCCCTCTGCAGTAGTTTCAGAAATTCTAAAACAATCAGTGTCCTAGGATGGATAAATCAGTAAGCCCTGAGGTTATTTCCAAATCTTTGGTTAAGATTGGTTTTGCTCTGGCAGGGTACTGGCGAACTCTCACCAGTCCTCAGCTCTCAGCCTCCTCCTTGGTGCCCAGTATGCTACGCTTAGAGTTACTCATCACATGTCTCGTCACGTATCTCCCTGATGAGGCTCAGACAGAAGACAACTGACTTGTCAAATTAAAATGCTGGTCACTGGGGCTTGAACCAAGGTCTGTGTGACTGCAAAGTTGTACTTTCAACCTCCAAATTCTACTGCAGTTCTCACTGCCAAAATGTCAGAGTCATGGCTTCTCTGCAGTGGTCAGGCCTTCTAGGATCAGGCTTTGCTTACTCTGATGTCAGTTAGAGATCTGGCTTTCAGCGAGCGAAGATCTGGCCAGACTTCACAGAAGTCCAGAGAGAGGTGGTTCTGGCATTATGGCTGCTGAGTAAGCCACCTGAATCCCAGCTCTCCAGATCTGCCCACTGCACCATCCATGGCAGATGGCCTCAGCCTCTTGTCTTAAAGCCTCAGGCCCCAAGTTCTAGGCAGAAGGAAGCATAAGAGCTAGAGACGCTTTTTTCTTGTGAGGCTTTGAGTTTTTCAGCCTGGAAGAAAATGCGTAAGTAGCAAACACTGTTACTGGCCACCTGACCTCATCTGGTTGAGAAAACCTAGTGCTTCACTAAGCTGCCTCTGGTGGAGAGGGCAGGGAAGAAGGCAGTTGAGCACTGGCATTGAACACGTCCATTTATAGTGCTCGCATGTATTTTGTCACTCTTCATTGCCTTTCACCTCCTACCTTGTGCTAAGGCCACTCTCTGAAGCTGCGTCCTGCAAATGCCCTTCATGCTTCACATGGTCATGTCTTTGCATATATTCTATGTTTTTATCTGTCTAAAACATACACCCCCAACTAATCCACCTAACAACTCTCATTCATCCATCAAGCCTCAGCTCAGATTCCACTTCCCATGTGGGGTCCTCCCTGATTCTCCCACCCCAGGCCTTAGGAGGAAAGTGCTTCTTTACACACCACCACAGTGTGCCCATTCTTGCATTGGCACCTTGGTTTTCTTCTTAAGTTGAAGTCAAGAAAGGAAATCACATCAAATTCACCTTGGTATTTCCAGTTCCTGGAACCTATTAATAATAGAATTATATCACATGGGCTTATATAGGGCTTCCTATATCAAACAGTGCTCTCAATATTTTACAGAATCAACTCATTTAATCCTCATAACAACCCTACGAGGTATGCACTATTCTCCTTATATAAAGGTAAAGAAATCAAGACACAGAAAAGTAATTTCTCCAAAAAAACAAAATTTGGACTAGGTAATCTGCCTTCAGAGTCTGAAACTGACTAGTTTTGATCATAGGTGGTTGAGCATAAATTAAGAAGTACACATCCTAGCTTATATCAGATACTCAATGTTATCATGATTCTCCTCCTCCTTCATTTATAAAATGTTGATTGAAAGGCCCAGCCATGGTAGCATGCGCTGGACACTGCTACAGGGCAGGCTGAGGCCACATGGAAGACCCAGGTTTGATTCCCATCTCAACCTAAAAAGTTAGATGCAATGATGCACACCTGTAGTCTGAGCTATTCAGAAGGCTGAGGCAAGAGGATCAAGACACCGTGAGGTCCTGTCTAAAATACACTACACACACACCAAAAGAAGAAAAATGAAAAGATATGCTGTTTTAATATCTACTCTGTAGTAGAAACAGAAGCCATTGGAAAGACACAAAGATGATTTGTAGGTAATCTCCTCCTGTTAGGAAGAGACAATATGATGAAATAAACATTCTCCTTAAGCGGTGAACATAATCCTACAGAATACAAAGGAGACTACACCATAAGCCTAAGAGCAGACTTCACAGAGGATGTGCTACCTGAATGGCTCTAGGCAGAACAAGATGCTCTTTGGGGAATGTGATGAGGGGGGCTCCCAAGCAGAAGGAGCAGCGTGTGCAAAGGTACGAAAGCATCCCGCAAACACTTAAGGCCCTGTCCAAAAGTGTCACGTGATTGGAACTTATGATATCTACAAACAAGTGGCGGTGAGGTACGAAAGCATCCCGCAAACACTTAAGGCCATGTCCAAAAGTGTCACGTGATTGGAACTTGTGATATCTACAAACAAGTGATGGTGATTGGGCAGAGTTTATCCCAGGTACACACATTTAGCACGATTCTCTTTTTTTGGTCTTTGGTTTTTGCCATAGGTCATGTGTGCTCACTGGAGAGACAGAGAGACAAAGAGAGGGAAAGTGAGAAATCACCCTCCATGGGTATTGGCCATGCCCAAATTCCTTCTGCTCCATTCTCCTCTTGGGATTTTGGGCACACATGCACACACACGTGGCATGGTGTTCAAGCCTCCAGGTCCAGGACTAGAACTGTGGTCAGCCTTGTGGGAGTGCATCAACCACTACTCACCCTCTGGCCCTAGTTCCCTTACTTCTTACGTTGAAAACTAAAGTTGGCTTCTGACTCACTTGCACCTCTGTGAGTGAAGAAGTGATTTCCTATTCCTACAAGATTCATGAAAGTCTAAATTTCTGTGCAAGGTGAGCGAAAACCAAACTATCCTGCCTGCTGTATTTACTGACTAATGTACGAAAGCTTTTCAGTGAGAAATCATTTAAGTCACCCGTACCAAAGAATAAAAATATCTTCTACTACGTACTTTAAATGCTAAATTTACTTCTTTGGCTAATATTACATTAAAGTATTATGTTCTTTCAAAATTTAGGTAAGTTCAAACTAGAAATTTCTTTTTTAATAATTTTTAAAATATGTTAAATTTTAGAAAAATCTATGAGAATTTTAAGATAGAAAGGAGAAATTAAAAGAAGCATATATTGGGGTCAGCAGGTGGTGTGGTGGTTGGGACACTGGACTACCACAGTGCTGACCACAGTTCGAGTCCTTGACCAGAGGTTTGCTTTCTCACTTTCCCTGTCTCTCTCTCTCTGGTCAAACTAAAAAATAATAGTGATAAACAAAATTAAATAATATTTTTTAAAACACATATTAAATGCAATATAAACTAAAGTAAATAAGAGACTTCCATGTTGATTAATCAAGCTCCTTTTCTTTATTATTACTATACTTAGAAATGATTTTCACCCAAGGAACACTCTCTTTGATTTTTAGGTCTGTTTACTTTCCTGGATGGATATAAAGAGTTTTCATGATTATAGTTACCCAGAGAAGTTAAACAGAAAGAGCAGCAACCAAAGAGTCGTGGGTTATATTAGCGTATTCAGAATACTTGTGTAGCGAGTATATTTAACCCTATAATCAAAGCAAGAAACTCCTAAGAGCAAAATCTCAGAAATATTAAGTAGATGGAACAAATATTAAATGCTAGCCTGGGACCATGGCGCTTGTTGGCGTCCACCTCCTCCTTTGCACTACGTCTGTCTTCGAAAGCTGAGGGATTAATCTCCATGCACGCATCAGCCTGAGTCAATCTGGTCATGAGATTAGAAGATTAGGCAGACCAGGCCTTGCTCTTGCTCATATGACTTATAGTCGAATGTGGGAAACCAAAAAACTAGAATTAACAATATACTGTTAGTGGGAAATAGGTAACTGGAAGGAAATATCAAATTATTATATGATATGCATGACTGAGAGAAGCGACCTTAAATAGCACTGGTCCAGGAAGGCCTTTCTGAGTTGTCATCACGCACACTGAGAAGCCAGATGTGTGACAACCTGGTTAGATTTGCATGTCAGACAGAGGACACAGTGTAAAGGTCTGAGTGTAATGAGCTTGGCACACTTAACAGTCCTTGTGCTAGACCATGGCAAATGTGTGGAAAGGGATGGGAATGAGATAGAGCCAGAGAGAAGCCGGAGCCAGCGTCTTTTAAGCCAGGGTGAGGTATGCTTTTCTAAGCATGGTAAGACTCCATTGAAGTATTTTTAGTAGGGAAGCATCGTGGTCTGATTAAAATTTTATAGAAGCCTTCCTACTGCTATGTGTGGGATGAATTAGAAAGAATGGAGAACGGAAGCAGTCGAGTTCTGCTTAGCCTCTGATGGGATGAAAAACTGGGTAAAATTTTGTTAAATGTAGTAATATCAAAGGACAGTCAAGGCAACCAGCACGTAGGTGGTTAAGGTCCACAACCAAAATGAATTTCAAGTGAGCCAGCTTTCTGCAGCTGCATTTTAAAAGAGAGCCAAGGAGGTAAGCAGAAAATTGCTGAGGTTCAAAGAGCAGTTTGCTACAGTCTACAGTGCTGAAGAGACCAAGGTTGAAGTTGTGGATCTGCACAGGTAAAGAGACCCTGGCAAACTCTTCCGGCTCTCAGTTGGATCTCAGCTGCTCCGGTGTCGGATCGGGGTGAGCTGTCATTAAAAGAAAACTTCAAGGGATCGGCAGATGGCATAGCAATTACATCACTGGACTACCACATGGTCTAGTGTGGTTCGAGTCCCAGACCCAGTGGTTTCAGAATCACGCTGGGCACATGTGCATGCATGCCCAAGATCCCAAGAGGAGAAGGGATTGCCGTGCGGCTATCCCGCTGAGGGGTGATTTC